CTCAGATTACCTTCACATCGTGACACATATAGTCAAGATGACTGTCAATTTCCGTCAACTCATCTCAATATTCTCCCTGACATTCAACCATCCAAATGCCATTCACGATTATTCAGTATTTTTTCATTATCCCCTCTTGACTTTCATCGGGATGATTATTTCCGGCTAGCATTTTCATTCCAATTCACCGTTCTATTTCTGTCCTCCTACTATTCCAACACTTCCGGTTTCGTGACAACTGACACTGGTCCACCGCACCTCCCATTATTTTCCATCGCGTCGGCACGAATGCCGCATGGATTTTAACATCTATTCTCCACAAGTTTTTTTTTATTTTATGGTGTGGTCTTTTCTGTCACTTTCACATCGACTGGGGTCTATCGCATTTCACTTTAACTCGCACCGTCAACCCGACTGTTCCTTCCGGGGTTTCATTTCGCGTCGGTTGCAATCATAGAAGCCATTAATTTCCAATTACCATTGATGGAATCTAATCATTATTGCGTAATTTTTTATTTTCGGTATCTTTAGGTGTAATTATTGAGTAAAAATATAGTTTGAAATTTTCGATAACGGAAGGGCGTAAGTTTGCAGAGAGGAAAAAACAGAAAGCAGATATTTTATGTAAGATGATGGATTAATGTCGAAAGTTAATGGTTCAAAACATGTTTAAATAATATTATTTCATATAGTCGTTTTAAGGGTCTCAAGGGTCAACCGGGAGAGACAATTGGAGTGATCACAAGGGTCAATAGCTAGGGGGGTCGCATGTTTCCGCAGTCAAGCCATAAAACGTTTCAAGCCAATTTCGACAGTTGGTCAGTTTTCTATGAATATCTCGGAATCTAAAGCAGATAGCAAAATTTTTGATAAAGCCTTTTTTGTAGCGCGCAATTTGCTCTACAAAAAAGAGTATGTCAAGACTTGCGCTATCTCCCTTAGATTCTGAGATATTCCTCGAAAACTCCACAAAGAACTAAGCCGACTTGACTTTTACCTCTTCGCTACTGGTTTTACCTTTATGATCACTATTTTTTCGCTGAAAAATGACCAGGGTCATATAAGAAGTCCACGGAGAGCAGGAAACTCAAAATGCAACACGTGGAAGACCCCACAAAGGCAAATTACTGCCGATTCACCTAAAATTGACGAAAAGGAGAATAAAAAAAAGAATCCAAGACATGAATAAAATATGCAAGCCAAGAACTGGTCTCTGTCGGCTTCGTCACGGAGTTGACACGTACATAAATCCCCACCTGGATTTGACGAGTCCGAGTCAGATGACAAAAAATGACAGAAAGAACTGAAACGCAAAAAAAATATTAAACAGCCTCAAGACCGCCGGTGAAAAAGCGTGAAAAATTGAGGCCAATTCGTCGTAGGTATTTTCTCAAGGGCAGAATATCCGCATATTCTTAGATAAATAATTCATAGAGCCTTCTATGAGCCAGAGGACCAAGGACAGTATTTAAAGTGCTCGATGGAGGGCATGGGAGGGGGGGGGGACAATTTTGTGTCTTTGCACGAAAGGGTATGTTCTATGCGCTTGTCCTGGAAATGATGTGCCGCGATGTGACAGGGAGCAGGAGAGCGAAGAACAGGCGCAAGTGATAAATGGTGATGGGTAACCGTAGGCTTTCAGAACCGGAATTTTGACTTTTTTTCATAAGGGTGTACTGCATGTGATGATGAGAGCTTACTGGGAGAGTACATTCAAATTTATGGATCATTTTTCTGACTCTATCGTGACTGTCTAATTTTTTATTGACGGGGTTTGAAAGGGTGATGAGGAGGAAACCTCTGTATTGGTGGGAAAATTAGAAAGGGACTCTTCGCAAATTTAAGAAATGCTCATTCAAATTTTTTTTAATTGGAAAAAAAAATTATATTTTTTTTTCAATGCTTTAGGCTTTTCTGACTTGCTCTTCAACATTTGTAATTAGAAAATTAATTCGGGGAACAGATTTTTTCCCATTTTGACTTGTTAGAAAATAATTTTTTCAATATAAAGAAATGAAAAATTTCAATTTTCAAAGATAACGATATTTTTTACGATAATGTTTTTACAGCAACGGTTCATGTTTGAAATTTAACCAGAAATCTATTTTATTCCACAAAAAAAAATCTAAAAGTTCAAACAATGGTTCTTGTTTAGTTATGAGAAGCGAATATAAAAAAATGGTAAATTGAATTTTAAATTCTGAAGTACGGAAAAAGAAAACATCTGCATTGGTGGGAAAATTTGGAACTCTTCGCAAATTTAAGAATTGCTCATTAATTTTTTTTTTAATTGGAAAAACAATTTATATATTTTTTTGTAATGCTTCAGCCTTTTGTGACTTCCTCTTCAACATTTGTAATTAGAAAATTAATTATGAGAACAGATTTGTTTTCCACTTTGAATCGTTAAAAAATGATTTTTTCAAGATAAAAAAAATGAAAAATTGCAATATTTGCAGATTACAGTATTTTTTATGATAATGTTTTTCCAGCAACGGTTTAGGTTTGAAATTCAGTCAGAAACCTATTTTATTCCACAAAAAAAATCTAAAATTTCAAACAATTCTCATTGTTTATTTATAAGAAGTGAATATTAAAAAAATGGAAAATAAAATTTTTAATTCTCTTTAAACTCCAGTCAATGCATTATTAATGGCCTGAATTCACAGGAAGTTGATAGCTATTATCACCAACACGTCGTTGGAAATGACCGTTACTTCAGGACGGAACTAGACATCCCTAATTGATTTATCGCTCGAATACACCATCAGAACGAAAAAAAATTATTAGTAGAAGCGGAAACCGGTCGAAATGGCAATCGGTTTCGTTTTCCATCGGAAGTCATTTATATGTACTCTCTCCAAATGAATGTGCACTGACGATGGAAAAATTTTAACCCCTTTTTATCATAGAAAAACTCATTAATGAGATTAATCTTTAATTAAACATGATTTGACATGAATTATCGGATGCAAAAATTAATTTTCAAAATCATGAAATGGGAGGGATTCATAATCATATTAAAAAGAAAGTTTCACTTTATGATTTAATTCCCAATAAATCATAGATCCAAAAAAATTGACTGACCAATGCATAAAAAACTTACCTAGAACGGAATATCAATAACTGTAATTCAGCAATTGATGTTTTTTTGTGTTTTAGTTGAATTAATTATGTAATTATAAATTTAAAATAATTCAATGTTTTCACAGACGAAAAAATTGAATAGAAAAACTTCAATAATTTAATAGAAAATATTCAATAGAAAAAGTCAATAGAATTCGATTTTTCTCTGTAACTTATTATCTTCAGATATTTTCCATAGAATTTCCTCGGCTCAAATTTCCCAAGTTTTTTTTATTCTATTTTCCTTTTCTTCTCATCAAGAAAATAAAAAAAACAGAAGGAATTCTATAGAAAATATCTCAATAGAATGAGCTGTACAGAAAAATCGAATTGTCTAGCGAATTCGCCGGTTTTTCTATTAAATTTTTTCATCCGTGATTCTCATCGCGTAAATAATCTTTCGTTAATCTTCGAATAAATCCCCACACCCACATTAACAATATAGAAATTAATTCAAGGAGACTGTGAATTCCCATTCTCCGCAACTGAAATTAGCTAAATAAAATCTGCAGTGAAAATTAAAGTCATCATTAACAATGGAAACTCCCAATGTCTTACAAAATGCTGAAAATTATCATGCCAAGGTTCCCATCAATTTCCAAGACTCGAGGGAAGATATGAAACAATGAAAAACGGTACATGCTATTTTATATTGTTTCTCCCACACTGTCCTGAAATATTTACATTTTAATTTCTGCTTTCATCCTTCATTTTTCAATTTCAAATCGCTGATTTTAGCATTCAATGCAGTGACCTAGAGTCAAAGCTGCTGTTTGGGAAAAATTGTAGTTATGGAATGGATAAAAATCGCTATGTAATGGATTTTTTACTTGTGAATTCTATACAGAATTCTATTGGATTTCTATTGAAACTCGATTATTTTTTGGCTGATTTTATTGATGAATTGGAGAGCTTCATTGCCCGTTTTTTAATAGAAATTGTTCTTTTTTTTAACAGAAAAACTATATTATAGAAAAAATTCGTAGACTTTCATCTTTCTATACTTCTTTTTCTATTGAAACATTTTCTATAGGAATTCTTGGACATGAATTTCCTAATTTTTTCGACTCTAGTTTTCTATTCTTTTCATTAAAAAAATTTAACGAAAAAATTTAGCAAATTTCAAGCGACGAATTTCTACAGAAAATATCTCAATAACTTGTACCGAAAAATATAATTCCATTGATCTTGTCTATAGAATATTTTCCATAAAATTGGCAAAAAAACTAATAGAAAGTTCAATAGAAAACAATTCAAACAGAAAAGAATCGAAAAATCTCGGCTGAGGAATTTATGCAGAATAAATTGTATAGAATAATCCAATTCTATTCCGATAGAGTATTTTCCAGTAAACATTTCTATCGAAAAAAGCAACACGCAGATAACCATAAATAGAAAATCAACGGAACATTTTCAATTTTTCTATAAAAATTTTAGCACGTGACGACCACAACAAAACAAAACTTGCGTAATCAAAAATTCAATCGAAACCCACACACTATTTTTCAACATTGTAGACCACGAAACTTTACTTTCTACCGCAATGAATTGACTTCACGTCAAAAAATCCCCTCCCTCCTCCCAATAGAAAGTGATCCACTCAATTCGATAATCAATCTCAGTTTCATAAACTTCATCTCTCCATGCGCTGAAAGAATAGGTTTATCCCGACAAATCATTACGAAATAATTGCCGAAGTATGATACCGCGTCTCGAAGTAAACCAATCACAATTTCCACTCGTTGTCCCTCACGATAATGACAAAATTGATCGCCATCCAATTTGATTCAATTCACTGGATTATAATAAAAATGACACTGATACTGGTATGAATTGTAATTGACATAATTTGTTTGTCTCTCGATATTTTACAGGTGAACTGTATGTCGAGGATCTTGGTGAAAGGAGAATGGTATCGATCAGAATGGGTTGGCTATGGGTCGAGGGAACACCGAGTCTAGCACTGAGGGCACTGAACCTTCGTCAGGCGTCGCCAGGAATATGTCAGCCACATGCATTAGCACTCGGATTTACATTGAGCAATACCAATGGCGATCCACTTGCTACATTTTGGGTAATTATTTGATTAGGTGGATAACATTGTTTGTCTTTGGCTTGATGTGGAGTGAATTGTTCGATTAATGGATGCGGTAGTCGAGTGGTAGCTCAGTGATAACACAAATGGGGGACAGTATCAAAAGATCTTTTTTGTGGGTGATGAAATTTTCGATGACAGACGTCTTATGATGCTTTTTTCTAAAATGAGGTGTTGTGAAGATAATTTGATACTCAGGAAAGTGTGAGAAGACGAATTCGACGATTTTTGTTTTATCAATTGAGGATTTATCTCGGGAATAAGTAGCTCTAGTTGAAAACATCAGAGGACTTTTTTATAGCTGAGGAAATTGCCGATGACAAATGTCATATGATTTTTTTCAATAAAATGAGTTATTATCAAGATAATCTAACATTTATGAGAGTATGGAGGATCGAGTCACTTTTGGCTGAGGAGGTAAATTCCACGATTTTTGTTTATTGTAGACTTATTGCAGAAACGATAGATTTTTAATGCAAACGCTATAAGACGTTTTTTATAGCCCATGGAATTTCCAACAAAATTGTCTTGTGATGTTTTTATCTAGGACCACTCGTTATTGAGATAGTTTGGCATTTGATAAAATCTGAAAACAAAATTTTCACTACTGAAATGGGTTTATAAATTGAGGATTTATCTCGGTAATAACTGGTTCTAGGTGAAAACATCGGAGGACTTTTTTGTAGCTGAGGAAATTGCCGATGACAAATGTCTTATGATTTGTTTTTCTAAAATGAGTTGTTATCAAGATAATTTAACATTTATGAAAGTATGGAGGATCGAGTCACTTTTGGCTGAGGAGGCAAATTCGACGATTTTTGTTTATTGTGGATTTATCTCAGAAACGATAGATTTTTAATGCAAACACTATAAGACCTTTTTTATAGCTCATGAAATTTCCAACAAAATTGTCTCCTGATGTTTTCGTCTAGCATCACTCGTTATTGAGATAGTTTGGCATTTGATAAAATGTGAAAACAGAATTTTCGCTATGGCAATGGGTTTATAAATTGAGAATTTATCTTGGGAACGAGTGGTTCTAAATGAAAACATCACAGGACTTTTTTGTAGCTAAGGAAATTTCTGGTGAAAAATGTCATGTGATGTTTTCTTCTAGAATAACTTGCTATCAATATAATTTAACATTTAAGAAAGTATTAAGAATCGAGTCCCTTTTCACTGAGGCACATTCGACGATTTTTGTTTATTGTGGAATTATCTCAGAAACGACTAGTTTTTAGTGAAAACAACATATGAGCTTTTTTATAGCTCATTATATTTTCAACAAAATTGTCTTCTGATATTTTCATCTAGGACCACTCGTTATTGAGATAGTTTGACACTTGACAAAATGTGAAAACGGAATTTTCGCTACTGAAGTGGGTTTATCAATTGGGGATTTATCTCGGGAATAAGTGGTTCTAGGTGAAAATATTAAAGGACTTTTTTGTAGCTGAGGAAATTTCCAATAAAAAATGTCTCGTGATGTTTTCATCTAGTACAACTTCTTATCAAGATAATGATGAATTAGTGTACGTCTCCCCCGTTTCGACTGTCGTGCAGTCATTGCAAAACGACAAAGATTCCAGCATTTCGCAGTTGTGAAAGTTTTTCGTAGTTTTTTGTGGGCAACACTCATCCTCATATTCGATAACGCACCCTCATGGCTCTCAACGCAACAATTCCCCTATTTGTTTTTCCCCTTTCCATTCTAGTTTCTCAATTTCAATAGTAAATATGGTCTGAACTCGGCTAGCGATTTCACCCGGTGGAAGCAACAAAATCCAATCTGAATTGAAATAGTTCAGCTGTTCTCGAGATATTTTTGGTTGTATAAACGTTTATCTTGGGGAATATCTCCGGAAATCCTCAATCAATTCGTGCGAAGTGCAAATTCCCACAGAAAAGCCATTACGTGATACATGAGTTGAGGTCTGCTCGAGTGTTTACAATAATCGTCGGTCTATTTCCTTGTTTATTCACGCACGATAAAGGTTCATTGAAAAACCCAACGCATTTGATAGAAAATTCTATTGAATTTCTATTGATTTTTGGACGATTTTATTGGATATTTTCGCAGCTTTACTGCGAATTTTTTAAATAGAAAATATTTAATAGACACTATTTCATAGAAAATATTAATGATATTTCATATTTCTACAGAACTTTTTCTACTGAAAGTTTCATTTCATTTTCTATAGGAATTCTTCAACATGAATTTTCAACGTTTTTTTGCTCTGTTTTTCTCCTCTTCATTAAACAAAATTGAACGAAAAAAACTCAAAAAGTTTTGGACGAGGAATTTCTATAGAAAGTATCTCAATAGAATAAGTGAAATAAAAAAAATAACTATTCATCGTTTCCACTTAACATTTCGTATCTTTTATTATTAAAGTATAAAGGAATAGTATTTCATCTTTCTATAGAACTTTTTCTATTGAAAATTTCATACCATTTTCTGTGGGAATTTCTCGACATGAAATTTCAAAGATTTTTCACTTAATATTCCTTCTCGTTCCATTAAAAAATCAAACAAAAAAATGAAAAATTTGGAGCTAATGAATTTCTATAGGAAGTATCTGAATAGAATAAGTGGAATTAAAAAACATCAACTATTTATCAATTCCTCTCAACATTTTGAACATTTTATAATTAAAAGCATAAATAAATGATATTTCATATTCCATAGGAATTCCTCGATATTAATTTTCCAATTTTTTTCATTCTAATTTGTTTCTCTTTTCATTTAAAAAAAACAAACAATTGAAAATTTTGAGCCGAAGAATTTCTATAGAAAGTATCTCAATAGAATGAGTTGAATAAAAAATCAACTATTCATCGACTCCACTCAACATTACGTACATTTTATTATTAAATATATAAATGAATGATATTTCATGTTTCTATAGAACTTTTTCTTCCTATATAAACTTTTCGTAAAAGTTTCATTTTATTTTCTATAGGAATTCCTCAATATGAATTTTACTTCACTCCGTTGTTCCTCTTCATTAAAAAATCAAACAATAAACTCAAAAATTTTGAGCCTAGGAATTTCTATCTAAAGTATCTCAATAGAATACGTTACATAAAAAATCAACTATTCGATTATTTAGAGGAAAACAATTCGGGAAATTTAGCTTTGAATTTAAACATGACTTGACACGAATTATAATACACAAAAAATAATACAAATTCAGCATTACAATTTTTTTCCACCAAGGATGACAATTACCATTTGTGTACATGGGAATCCACGTGGGAAGTTAATTCATATGAAAAGTGTGTAGTTACCCATTGATTTGCTGCCAAATACGTGTGACTATGCGATACATACAACCGAGAAAAACGATTATTACATTCTAACTGAAGAGAAATATCAGTACTAAAATGTTACATCCATTGTATAACAACTGGAAAATTCTAACGTATCGTTATTCACCTCTCGAATGAATAGTCCGCGGTTTAATTAAAACAGCTATAATCACGCGCATTCGTTTGGGATTTTAACGTGCATGTAAGTAAATGAGTGAAGTGATCGTGATGTAGACCGATCTCGTGAAAGTGTTTTACGCTCATGGGGGAAAAAAACTGATCGTGATGAAGATAAAGGGTAATTTACATTAAATTACGTTGCACATGGTGGATGAAATATCTGCAACACTTTCAATCTCACTTCACTGGGAATTTTTTACGGATGCACTAATGGAATGTCGCATTAGTGTGATGTGAGTTTCAATGGCCAAGATCAAGTCAAAGACTTGATGTTTTTTTTTTTATTTCGCGATTCAATAATTCATGAAAAGCATGATTGTTAATCAGAGATTTATCTCGAAAACTAATGATCCTGGGGGAAAATGTCAAAAGACCTTTTTTGTAGCTGAGGAAATTTCAGGTGAAAAATTTTTTGCGATGTTTTCTTCTAAAATTACTTGTTATCAAGATAATTTAACATTCAAGAAAATATAAAGAATCCAGTCACTATTGGCTGAGGAGGCAAATTCGACGATTTTTGTTTATTGTGAAATTATCTCAGAAACTACTAATTTTTTATGAAAACACCATAGAACCTTTTTTACAGCTCATGAAATTTTCAACAAAATTGTCCTGTGATGTTTTCACTTAGGATCACTCGTTATCGAGATAGTTTGATATTTTACAAAATGTAAAAAAAATTTTTTCGCTAATAACATGTATTTATGAATTGGGGATTCATCTCGGGTATGAGTTATTCTAGGTGAAAACATGACAGAACTTTTTTGTAGCTGAGAAAATTTCGAGTGAAAAATTTCTTGCGATGTTTTCTTCTAGAATGACTTGTTATCAAGATAATTTAACATTCAGGAAAGTATAAAGAATCGAGTCACTATTGGCTGAGGAGGCAAATTCGACGATTTTCGTTTATTGTGGAATTATCTCAGAAACGAATGATTTTTTATGAAAATACCATAGGACTTTTTTTATAGCTGATGAAATTTCCAACAAAATTATCCCGTGATGTTTTCACCTAGGACCACTCGTTATTGAGATGGTTTGAAATTTGACAAAATGTAAAAAAAAAGAATTTTCGGTACTGAAATCTATTCGTCAATTGGGGATTTATCACATTTCTATTTAACGTTGATTTTTTCACTTAATAACATCTATTTCAATAATTTCTCCATAAAAATTAAACATTCCGACTTCTTCATCCTTGAACAGCCATATAAAAATGGAAAGTCTTAATCACTTTGGTATTTATCTCCCTCGAATAATTGAAATAATCAACTTGTGAGAGTAAAAGTCCGGAAATAATTGTTGTCCAGTTATTTTTCATCACCAGATCCTTTCGAAATACCACAAAAGTTAAAGCAACTACAACGAAGGTCGAAACGCGCTGTAAAACATGATATATATAAGCTAAGAGTTGTCACCCAAGAACTCTCCCTGTAGCCAGAGACTGGTTTCACTTCCTTTGGAAAAATAGTAATAATCGTTCGGTC